TCCTGCGTGCATGATGTAAGATCACTGCTTGATTTTTCAAATATTCATGTAATTCCTGAAAAAGACAAAAACAAAGGTGCATTTTATTTATTTATTTATTGGAGATTTCACGATAATAATGTGGTGCCATTTTGTCCTGTCGGATTCAAAAAAGAAAAGCAGAACACAATGTCCGAGTGGAGGATCACGATCCTTCCTTCTGGGTATTAAATAAATTCACTCACGTCCGAAATAAAGATTTTACGCATCCGTTGAAAAATTATTATGTTGCATGCAGTACAAAAAGAGTTAATGACTAGGGGCACATGTCCCCCCAAATTTTCTCCAGCTATATCTGTAAATTAGTTTCATAAGTACACTCATAAATATTAACTTTTATATATATATATATATATATATGTGTGTGTGTGTGTGGTGTACAATACTACAATGTGTCTCCTCAAAAAAAAATTCTGATTCCATCCCGCGTGCATTTTTTTGACGATGATAATGTAATTCCTGAAAAAGACAAAAACAAAGGTGCATTTTTTTTTTTAGGAGATTTGACGATAATAATGTGGTGCCATTTTGTCCGTCGGATTAAAAAAAGAAAAAGAAAAAGAAAAGCAGAACACAATGTCCCAGTGGAGGATCACGATCCTTCCTTCTGGGTATTATATAAATTCACTCACAGAAGTAGAAAGATTAATAGATATATATAGACATCATGACCCACCCAATCTAGTATAAAGATACAATTCTCTCTCCTTTTTCCACACAAACACTATCAATGATCACACGGACTTGCACGAAATCCAAGCTTTTGGTAACAATTCTCCTTTCATAAATCAACACAAAACTTTATCCAAGGATACTTTTTATTTCGATTGGATTCTTTAAAGCGTCTCATAATTTATAATTATGATTTTTATCGTGCATCCATTTACCAATATAAATCAAGATACGAGATGAAAGTTTTTGCAGTTAGATTATCCCTTAAAAAATACAAATGAAGTTCACATATTTGTGAATTGGACTAAGCAACACTTCTACTACTACTTCTCTCTCTCTCTCTCTCTCTCTCTCTCTCTATATATATATATATATGACGATGATGGCATCAAATCTTTTAGAGAACTACATAACTATCACAAGAGGTATACAATTTTTTCGTCCCACGTGCACTAAGCAATTAATAGAATTTTTTTTGAAATTGAACTCATAAGAATTCCAACTTCCAACCTTCAAAATTTAAGGCAAAAGACTTTGGTATTAAGATGTAATCTCGAAGTTCACTCAATTTGCTTAGGATGGGCTATCAAATTAGCATGTCCACCCACATGTTAGCATTTATGAACGACCAAACCTTGGATACAATTATAATAAGCTTTGAAAATATATAGTGTCTCACAGGTAATGTCCAAGGGTTAAACCTTTCTTCTGCTCTCTACCACACTAAATAACACACTTTTACACCTACACACTGACATATTTGGGTATGGTAACGGTGGAAAATCACCTCCAATTAAATAATATGTCATTTGTTCCATTTTGAAATAAGTGGTTCAGAAATAACGACGTCAGTCATGTTTGGAATTTATCATAGGAAAGTGTTGGGATGCATTGTAAGAAAATATTGAGATACACCTTACCAAAATGTTGTGATGCACTTTCACTCACAAAAATAGAAGAACTGAACTGTGCAAATGGAGAGGATCCTGGTTAGGAGGGTACTAAACTAACCATAATGAATGATAATAATTGAGGACTGGTTTCGTGAAAAGGCACAATATTAAATGACATGCCTGATTTCATAGGATGAAATTGTACTAATATAAATCAATGGGTCCGTGGCTTAGCAGTATTAGGTTTTTCCACACAAACACTATCAATGATCACACGGACTTGCACGAAATCCAAGCTTTTGGTAACAATTCTCCTTTCATAAATCAACACAAAACTTTATCCAAGGATACTTTTTATTTCGATTGGATTCTTTAAAGCGTCTCATAATTTATAATTATGATTTTTATAGTGCATCCATTTACCAAAATAAATCAAGATACGAGATGAAAGTTTTTGCAGTAAGATTATTCCTTAAAAAATACAAATGAAGTTCACATATTTGTGAATTGGACTAAGCAACACTACTACTACTACTACACACACTCTCTCTCTCTCTCTCTATATATATATATATATAATACAATTTTTTCATTCCACGTGCACTGAGCAATTAATATAATTTTTTTTTTAAATTGAACTCCTAAGAATTCCAACTTCCAACCTTCAAAATGTAAGGTAAAAGACTTTAGTATTACGATGTAATCTCGAAGTTCACTCAATTTGTTTAGGATGGGCTATCAAATTAGCATGTCCACCCACATGTTGGCATTTATGAACGACCAAACCTTGGATACAATTATAATAAGCTTTGAAAATATATAGTGTCTCACAGGTAATGTCCAAGGGTTAAACCTTTCTTCTGCTTTCTACCACACTAAATAACACACTTTTACACCTACACACTGACATATTTGGGTATGGTAATGGTGGAAAATCACCTTCAATTAAATAATATGTCATTTGTTCCATTTTGAAATAAGTGGTTCAGAAATAACGACGTCAGTAATGTTTGGAATTTATCATAGGAAAGTGTTGGGATGCATTGTAAGAAAATGTTGAGATACACCTTACAAAAATGTTGTGATGCACTTTCACTCACAAAAATAGAAGAACTGAACTACTGTGCAAATGGAGAGGATCCTGGTTAGGAGGGTACTAAACTAACCATAATGAATGATAATAATTGAGAACTGGTTTCGTTAAAAGGCACAATATTAAATGACATGCCTGATTTCATAGGATGAAATTGTACTAATATAAATCAATGGGTCCGTGGCTTAGCGCTATTAGGTTTTTACTTCTCAAAGGGAAGTCAGGGAGCTCAATAGAGGCTTGTGTGTGTGTGACTAAGAAAAAAAAGTACTAATATAAATAATTCATATGGTTTGGTCACTTGTGCATTCACAAGAGATATTTACACAATTGAGAGGGACGATAAATTATTACATGGCCATGGATTACATAATTCCGGCCAATCACATTTTAAAATTTTTCTGAGAGAAACTAGACTTTTGGTATTTTCACAAAATGATTATTCTAAAATTCATATTACCCACACTCATGATACTGATACACTAAACGTTTTACCTTTTCCATGCTCAGTTTAGTCAATGACGGATGGACTGAGATCTTATGTGTAAACATGGAAAATTGTAGAAGATTGTGAGAAAAGGACCTAATGATATGTAGAAGAAAATACCAACTAGTCAAGCACAAGAGAAGATTGTGAGAAAAGGACCTAATGATATGTAAAAGAAAATACCAATTAGTCAAGCACAAGAGAAGATTGTGAGAAAAGGACCTAATGATATGTAGAAGAAAATACCAATTAGTGAAGCACATGAAAAGATTGTCTTGCCTAATAAAACTATCTGCAGTGTTGAGTAGACTGAGTAGCGCAAAAGGTTAGTTCGGTGCACGATATTTTTTTCAGTGTTGGGTACTTTGGAGAAAGGTCAGTCTTGGACTAACCTAATATACTCTGTACGTGGAGATGCAGCTTTCTTGTTTTAAATTCGTAACGGAGTCACAATGCAACAACTTTACTATTGCATAAAGGCCGCTAGTGAGGACTGCTATACAATTTGGTTTTAATTTTGACTTGTGACACTCACCACCAGTAAATCTCCCTAACAATGACAAGAGAGACCTAAAAGAGGGATAACAAAATTGAAGCACTAGGAATTTTGGCCCGGCTACAAATAAAATAGCAGCAGTAGCGTTCTTAATTTCCAATCATACCCTCAGTTTAGTTGATCAGAAGTCTTTTTCTTCTTGATGATTGGTTGCTGTGTGGCCTAACTGATTTCAAACCAGTCATAAATTGCACTGGATCCAGACCCACTCGAACCTGATTCATTGCAAATATCACATAAATCTCTTTTGCAGATGCTGAAATTTGTATCATTAACTAAGCTAAAAATATGGTGCTAATTTTTTTTTTTGGGGGGGGCTCTAAATTAGAATTTATCCAAGTTTCTCAAGCCCATGAATAGGTCAGACTAGTAATTTGCACTTGACTCTGATCAATATGAGTTGTCTTCATTCATGTGTGTGTGTCTTCATATGCGTAGAAAGGTCCTGAAACAGTCTTGACCTTTTTTTATTTTTATTTTGTTTGGTCCCATGGTTTCTTTCCTGTTGTTCATGTGAGACTCCAGTGGTTAACACTATGTGAGATTTCATGCATGCATATATATACATACATATATACATATACATATACATATAACACAAACATGCAGAAAAAGTTGAGATCAAGGGTGAACCTTCCTTGAAAGATTGCAAGAATCTAACTGAAGGTCACTTCATTTAGCTTGTCGATTGTGCATCAAAAAAAGGAAAAAGTGGTCCAATTAGATTGGTTTTATAAGACTTTATATGCAAACTTTTTACTTCCAACATCATATTCTACCTCACATTTAATTATAATTCAACAACTAACCATTACATTTAGATGATTTTCTTTATTAGAGCAAACATATAACCACTGTTGGAACTTATCACCATTTTTTACTGAACATAACAAAGTAGGCCCCATTCTGTTTTCAACCTGCAGTAGCAAAAGGTGGTTGGTAGTTTCTGAGGAAGAGAAGAGTAACAGAAGTTATATATATATATATATATATATTAACCTCAGATCCACTCTGTCCCACGTCGAATTTGAATAGAATTTGTAAATTGACAGGCTCAAAACCACGCGTTTTACCCATAAAACCACTTTCAATCCCATTAAAATGCAATCTTTCCACATAACAACTCCAAAAACTACTTTGGCAGTTTTCATGGTCCCCAAACAACAGCAGCTGAATATTGTCAGAGTACTAGTCTTTGATGCTGACCCTAGAAGTCCCATCCCCCCTCACCAACCTCTATTTATTCCCCCTCAAAACACCTCTTCACTCCTACAACCCCCCTCTCAAGGCTCATTTAAAAAAAAAATGCCTAGAAACCCTTCAATTTCTGAAGGAAAAATGGCTCTTAGTGTGTTATTTTTAGTGGGTTTTTTCTCCATGGTCTCATCTGTTAATGGGTATTATGGGGGGTGGATTAATGCTCATGCCACTTTCTATGGTGGAGGTGATGCTTCTGGGACAATGGGTATGTTGCAAAACTTGTGTTTGTAGTTTGTACATCTGTGTGTGTGTGTGTTTTTTTTTTGAAAGGTCAGTTTGTACATGTTTATATGATGAAATTTGACATATTTCTATGGTTTTGACATGTACATTCTGATTTTTGATTGTAGGTGGGGCTTGTGGTTATGGTAACCTGTACAGTCAGGGGTATGGGACTAACACTGCAGCATTGAGCACAGCACTGTTTGACAATGGCTTGAGCTGTGGTGCTTGTTTTGAGATTAGGTGTGTGAATGATCCACAGTGGTGCCTTCCTGGTGCCATTGTGGTCACAGCCACCAACTTCTGCCCACCAGGAGGGTGGTGTGACCCTCCCAACCACCACTTTGATCTCTCTCAGCCTGTCTTCCTACACATTGCTCAATACAGAGCTGGGATTGTCCCTGTGGCATACAGAAGGTAATTTAATAACCACATCTATGTTTGCATGTGTCTATATTTCATTCTAAGGGTCACACTTTAAAACGGAAAACAGTTTTTTCTCAATACTCCATCAAACCCTTCATAGATTCTACAGTTGCGGGAGCCTCGTGCAGCTTTATTGTGACTAAGAGGTTACGGGTTCAAAACAGTAAACAGCTTTCCTAATGCGGAGGTTAGGCTACGCACATCAAACCCCCTGCAAGCTCTATAGTGGCGAGAGCCTCGTGTATTGGACTAGCCCTTTGATTTGGGCTAATTTGTCACTATATCTTACTCCTACTAACAGATAATTTGTCTCTACGTCACTCGTGTACATGGGTTCTTTGCAATGTGCTAATTTGTCTCAATAGGGTAGGGTGCTAACTTTTTTGTTTTTCTTGATGTGGTTTTGTAGGGTACCCTGCAGAAGAAGGGGAGGTATAAGGTTCACTGTGAATGGTCACTCCTACTTCAACCTAGTCCTCATCACTAATGTGGGTGGTGCTGGTGATGTCCATGCTGTGTACATCAAGGGCTCAAGAACCAGATGGCAGCCAATGTCAAGGAATTGGGGGCAAAATTGGCAGAGCAACACTTACCTTAATGGGCAAACCCTATCCTTTAAAGTCACTACAAGTGATGGCCGTAGTATGGTGTCTTACAATGTTGCCCCTGCTGGATGGTCCTTTGGCCAGACTTTTTCTGGAGGCCAGTTTCGTTAGGGTACCATTTCTCTGCTAAATTTAGCAAGTTGTATGGTATAGACTATATAGTATATAATTAAAACTAGAATTGGGTAATTTAGTTAAAGAAGACTATGTTATGTGTCCAAATGAAAAGGGAATATTTTCAATGGCTCTTTTTTCATATTCATTATGTGTAGAGAGAGACAGAGAGAGAGAGAGAGAGAGAGAGTTGTGTTTAAATGTTGCAGTGGTTGAACTTTTCTTATGCTGCCATTAGCACATTGTGTGTATTTTCCCTTACTTGTGTGAGGTTTGTGTGATCAGCTTAAGCTGAATTTCATGTGACCAGTGTTGTAATGAGGCGGTGTTATGAATTATAATGTAAAAGGTACTATTTAAGCTTGTTTGGTCAATTGTGCTGTAATGAAATGGACATCTTACCTATTGTTGTTTAATTTCTATGATATTTTACATGTTCTTGTGACTTTGTGAAAACCACAAACTTCCATTTTGAAGTGAATAGTTAAATCATAAGGTTTTTGTTGATTCAAGTTGCAATTGTACCTTTCTCTTTAGGAATGTTAGGGACAGTCAAGGCATGTGAAAATTGTAACTCATCATTATAATTTTAGGATAAATTACATTGACCTCCTTCGAGTTTTGGACAAATTGTAGATAGATGGACCATTTAACTTTTATTACTTTGACAATCCTTTATATTTGAAACACGTGTTTAACAATACCCTTACCATTTTCTTTCGGACAATGATCCTCTCTAGCGTTGGAGAGGTCCAACACAGAATCCAGTGTTTGAGATTGAATTGATAAATAGAATCAACTAGTGATAATGCAATCTCAACCACTAAATTTTATGTTGAACCTCTTCAATACTGGAGAAGATCCTCATATAAAAATGATAATTTTGTCATTCCCTTGTATAAAAATGCAATATAATATATATTATTATAATTTTAAAGGCATTATTGATTTTTTACATTCAAATTCATTTTTTCGGCTGCCAATAAATAAGCTTAGAGAATATCAAAATAATAAAAATTAAAACATTTACTCATTTATAATTCATCCAAATCTCACGAAAAATTGATGTAAATTTTACCTCATCTAAGATGTTACATACAAGAATGTTCATTTTCTTTTTCTTGCAATAGTTGTTATCATTAATGTTGTTATCAGAGATGCTACCAGAGAAAAGTCAAAAGAATAACATGTGCGGTGAGACAGGATAAGATGTACAGTCTAATAGACAGTATAGTGACTCTGTGTAGTCTTCAATTTTAATGATGTAATCAAATTCTTCTACATAGATAATGACTTCGCTTGGCTTAATATCTAACTAAAAAGCATTATTACAAAGTTTGTTTCTTTTTTTTTTTTTTTTTTTTTCAAAAACTATATTTACAAATTTAAAATCCTAGCATAGTACTGCAAACTAGAACAAACATTATTCATATACTTTTGGTTACCCATCGTACCATTTAGGTTTTGAAATGAAATGGTCAAAACTCAAAAACCTCTAATTTTATTTTCAAAAAAAAAATTAGTGTTTCAAAACGAATTTGTGTCACATCAAATCCAGATAAAAAAGTGAATTAATATATATGGATCAAATATTAGACCTGCTTAATAATTTAAATTTTTGAGTAAAGCTAGGAAACACTTAAATTACCAATAAGATCCCTTACACAGGGAATTAGTAAGGGTGGTCATGGATTGGATTAGGCATCAATCCTAATCCGATCCGCTCCCAACGGATTAGGAAAATCTTAATCCGCCACAAATATATTATCCCACAGATCGAATCTGATCGGGTTCATGTAATAACGGATCGGATCGAATTGAATCCGCGAATTGTATTTTATTTAAATTATCCATTATTATGAATTTATCTTTTAACCATAACCTAATGGATAAAATTTTAATTTATTTATATTAATTCATATATTTAAATAATTATTAATTAATACATTCTTATAATCTATTAAATTATCATTAACTAATATATTATTTGAATATATATATATATATATATATATATATATATATATTACGGATCGGATTGAATCGAACTTTTAACAATTTAATTCGTGATCCGATCCGTGAGTTACGGATTCAATTTTTTTGAATTTGCCACCTATTCATGGGTGTAGCAATTCGATCCGATCCGTATGAATCGAACCGAATCTAATTAGATTCGTGAATTAATGAATTATTTGTCCACCCCTAAGAACTACCGTATAAATAGGGGTTAACAAGGAAATGAATAGTTTGTACGTTTTATAATAATAAAAAAATAAATAAAACTTCATTACTTTTCTACCACAATAATGTTTGGATGTTGAGAAAGTAATGATATGGGATATGCTTTTGCCCAAAGTCAATCTTCGTCCCAAATGAAACTTCAGCAATTGCAACATGAAATTCCTATCTCAGTTCTACCACAATAATGTTTGGATGTTGAGAAAGTAATGATATGGGATAGGGTTTTGGGCAAAGTCAATGTTGGTGGTACTTGTGAAAACTTTGGTATTTAATGCAGAAAAATGTTGGAAAAAAATAAAGGTCCCCAGAGAATGAACGTGGTTGTGTTTGATAGAAATTGGAAAGTGGAAACACCGACAGAGTGAGAAAATCAATAGGAGAGAGAAAGAGAGACATATTGTTCTGGTTTATAATCTTTTGATGTACAGAACTTGCATTCATTGTTGTTGTTGCTGTTATATCGTTTTCAAGGTTCTTCCAACTGCTTAAATTAATGAATTACCAATAAAGGAAGAAAAAAAGTCGCCCAATTCCTAGATTCTATCTTCATAAAGAGCAAAAATATTAAAATTTAAATAATATATATAAAGAATAAAGGCTTGCTGGATTCCATTTTCTAAAATAATTCTTAAGAATTTTGAAGATAATAAAATATTTCAATTTTTTTTTAAAATACTGTTATATTTAAAAAAAAATAAATTTTATAAAAGAACATGATATTCTGTTTTAAAGAAGAACACTAGGGCGTTTCACTTCTATTCTTTTGTAACTAAAATGACAAATATAATTCTAAACTTTTCATTTAACATAATACTTATTAGTTTTGAATAATTAAAAGTGTTCTAGGGATAATAAACTACAAAATTCAATATTTCACACTTTTGAGCTTCTATTAGTCTTATCTTTGTGTTTCTTTCTAATTAATTAGTGAGTCATATAAATGATGCATATGAAAATAATAATAATAATAATAATAAATAAAAACACACACACAACACACAGACAAACTAGTTAATAATATATACATATATTTTTCCTTAATGTGTGCATATGCCTAAGCACATGTTCTCTCTAGTCATTGTCATTTTGAAGGACTTAATTATACGCTCTCCTTTAATTGAGAAGTGCAAGTCTTAACGAATGAGACAATGCCATATATTGAAAGCGTGTATTGGGTATTGTTGGTTGTCTTCAACAATGATTTACTCCTACAAACAATGCCATAAATTATTAACAATTGGGGATGCTTTTGAAAGAATTGAAGATTTTCTATTATAAATTAAAGAGGAAGAATAAAGGCTTGCTGAATTCCATTTTTTAAAACATTTCTTAAGAATTTTGAAGATAACAAAATATTTTTTATTTTTTATTTTTAAAAAAACTGTAATTTGAAAACATATACTATATTTTTAACCAAGTTATTAAAAAAACAACTTTTATTAAAGGACTTGATATTCTGCTCTAAAGAAGAACACTCTGTGTTTCACTTCTATTCTTTTGTAACTAAAATGACAAATATAACTCTAAACTTTCCATTTAATATAAAATTTAAGTTTTGAACAGGGATAATATAATAAACTACACTTTTGAGCTTCCATTAGCATTATATCTTTGTATTTCTTTATAAGTCACATAATGATGCGAGTTAGAACGGCAAAATCTAAGTCACACAAAATGAAAATAAAAGCGAGAGCATGCACGACACTCATTTAAAATAATCGTGTGACTTAGGCTCTATTTGTTTCGACGTAAAATATTTTTTTGAAAAATATATATATTTTTTACACGTAAAATATTCTTTTATTTTTACTTTGTCGGTATCTGACAAAAGTATATGTCGAGATTAAGGTTAAGTCTATCAGGCGGGGCATATAAAATAACTTGCTTAAAATTGATGGATAATTTATTTTTGTTAAATTTTAATATTTTTTCTTCATAAATATTTTACGGCAATCAAATATCAGAAAATAAAAAAATATTTTATCTTCAAACAAACAGAGCCTTAAGTTCCTTTATTTTCTTATCCTCGACCTCAATGCCAATGGATACCTACTGAGTTTGCTCCTCCACTCTCACTTTCTAATTTTCTTCATCTCGGTACTGTAATGCATCTCGCTTTTGTTTTCCTAATGATATTTATTTGGTTTAATTCAATGTCAATTTTTTTTAAAGAAATAAAAGTGATCAAATTGAAGATATAAAGAGGACGATGATAAGAGTAGGGAGAGAGAAGAGTAGAAGGACCCATTGATCCTTAAAAAAAAAAAAAAAAAAAAAAACCTTACAAAAAATGAAAAAGTTGCATTAAAGGTTAATTAGACATATTTTTCTTCTTCTCCTTATTTTACTTTTTTTTTTAAAACAAATTAGTGTATTATCCTCTTTTTCTTTTTCTTTTTTTATGGCAACAAACTCCCACAATGTTGTTTTGGGAGACAATAATCTTCCACTTTTTACTTTAAATAAAGAGAAAATGTCACATACATAAAATATGAAATACTTTTTATTTATATTGATATTATCTTTTAAAAAAATATTCATATTAAAAAAATATAGAATATCATGTGTAAAGAATACCCTAAATTATTCTTTAAAAAAATAAAAAATAAAAAAATCATGCCCCCAAATTATAAAGTTTTTGGGTTGGCCCTGATTGATCCTATTTTCACAAATTCACTCCAAAGTATGGTGGGGTTGGTACCTGAGCTTTTGTAGCACTCTATGAGACTTCCTGACTGTCTCTGATTGATTAAAAACTAAATTTAAATACAAGCTAATGCTTTTTAATTCAGATAATTCATGAACAATCACATACGTTTTTTAAAAAATAAAAAATAAATAAATTGGAACAGTACATGCATTGGAGGAGTGTATAATAAATTAATAATACAAAACATTCGTATCCATTATATATAATGATTTGTACATTCAATATCAGTATATATATATATATATATATCACAAGAGTAACGTAGGACCCTGACAATGACCATTCAATGGGGTTGCAACTATATAGACCAGTAGTGTTAGGTCTGTAGTAGTTCTTGAAATTCGTGTACTATTTATTTATCAAACGACCAACCACTCAAACTTTTTACTGCTCAGTTAATTCACCCGTTTTTATTTACTGTATTTAAGTACCATTGCAGACACAGGTCATTCTTGTGCCTTACCT